AATTTATTCTCTTTTTTTAAGAAAAAGAATGATGGGTCATCATCTAGTAGAATGCCTCTCATTTGTGATGAGCAAAATCTTCTTGACTCTCCCATTATCAAGCCTCAAGTTGAAAGAGTTGAGACCCAAAGAGTCGATAGTGATCAAAATTTTAATATCAATTATCTTGAGCGTGATCATGAATTTTAATATCAATTAACATATTGTTCCCTCATAATGATAACTTGGCGGGGTCCAAACCTAGTACCATTCAAGCACAAACACATGAATCTGGTACACTACGACTCCAAGCACGCACACTATCACCCAAAGCATAGACATTATCATTGTTCATCAGACTTTGGGCAATGAAAGCATCCAAGAAAAACCAAATATGTTAGGTGTACCCTAACCAGTGCGAGTCTGATCATATCATTAATTACAAAATATTTTCATCGAATGTAAAAAATTGAGGAGAACGATGGTACAAATGTTAAGAAAATTGGGTAGAATGGAGATTTTCTCAACCCTAACTTTAAGAAACACAAAACGTCATGCACACAGAATTTGTTATCCAAAGATATCAAATGTTCAAATTTTAAAATTTTAAAAAAAAAACTTGTTCAAAGAAGAAGAAAAAGAAAAAGAGAGAGACACACGAACATAGATTTTGGGTGCAAATATAATTTTGGAATACGCGGGCTTGTCATTCCTGGGCTTTTCGTTCTCTTTTTGTTTGATTTGTTTAAAATCACCGTTGATGAAACGAGAATAAATAAATAAATTTTAGCTGAATATTGTTAAAAGAGACCTAAGAAAATAGCTGGAAAATAAACCCTACCTAGGGTTAGGGCAAGCTCTAAGATCTCGCGTATTGTTCTGCATCCATTATATATAGTCAACATACACAGCCGCAAAACACAAGACCTTTCGTTGCCTGATACCTGACTGAGACTGAAAAACACACAAACTCTTCCAAGCTAATTGGTCGAATCTTCCTCGAGATCTGGTTGCGGCTATTGCCCAAAAGATGGTCTTGATAGAAGATTTTATTGCTATTAGTGCAGTTTGCAAATCCTGGAATTTAGCCTGACCAAGAAAGACTTCAACATAACAGATCAAGTTCCATTTCTGATATGCTCCAAGACAAGGGCACTGGTGGCGGCGTCAATGGCTTTTTCAGCCTCAAAAAAGGTAAGCTGCTTGACAACCTCAATCTCCCAGAAGAAGCCAAGGACAAATGGTGTTTTTCTTCTCTAGGTTGGCTGTTGGTTCAATGTGAGCAGGGACGTGGGTATTTTTAATCTGAGAAGAAACGTTGTGCCACACTTGGGCGAAGGTTCTCGATTCCCAGCTCCATGTTTGTGGATTCAACCAAGTTTGTAAGATTGTGATGCGCTTGTATTCTAGTAGTAGCTAGTTCGTCGTGCATCTACTAGAACACAGTCTATCACCGTAAGTTTGGTAAGAGAATAATTACATAGAATTTTTTTAAATAAAAATTGTAAATCCCTAATTGATACTTCATAAACTCTAAAAAGTACCAAATTTCAACATCAACAAATTAAGACAATAAAAGAAGATTAATAATTGAAGATTAATTTGGTTTTCTTTAATTAAGCATTGAAGAGCGTGTAATAGGAGAGATGATTGACTCTTTCTTCAATTTGTTTTTTCTCTGCGTGCATTAGCTAAGGGTTTGTGGGGTTTGCTTGGGTGGGCTGGGAGTATTACTATAGTCTAGAACAAATCAAGACACATGGGCTATAGCCCAGGTTAGCCTGGGAATGGGTCCGTCCTTGGTTTCGAAATAATATCTATCTTAACATAGACGATTATTATTAGTTATATAAATGTTATTATTCTGAAGGATGATGACCTATTACAGCCTTTTATGTTCCAATTTAATACAGCAAATGAATTTAACTTTCTATGTGTTTTTCAAATTTATATATCTATTATATTCTTGCGTGTTCATTAACTTGCTCACATGTTATAGTAAGTGAATATTTATTACTACTATATCTTAAAAGTGGAAAATGTAAATCATGCCATATACTCATGATGTAACGCGTGGAAGGATAGTACCATGTGGCCGTATTCCATTACTACCATACTATAATTAAATCAATTATAGTAAAAGTGAAGACAAGTCCGGGTCTTTGCATTCTATTCTAATTCAGAAATTATTACTCAATCTTTATGCATTGTTTAGATTTACAAAATGTAACACATTTAAGAGGGGCAATGTAGATCTGTATGTGTGCTATATGGTGATTTATCTTGGTCATTCGTATGCAAGTGAGATATTTAAATGAAGTAAAACTCGAACGAGGACAAGTTATGGCAGCAAATGAGACCATGAGCCACTTGACCCAATGTACTTTTTGGGGTGCCAGACCTTTTTTTTTTTTTGTTGTTGAACTCATCTG